TTTCCTCATCAAAATCCGGTACACTGTAATAAGAATAAAGAAGGAATGGAATTTTTGGCAAAACTACTATTTTTTTTTTGAACAAAATGCACGTATCACGCTACTGATTGTTATTATCACCACTGCAGTGTTACATAGAGATGAACATAATCAACTGATCCAGATAGTGATCCATTTTTTGCATGAATGCACTCTCCATATCTCGGATCGCTTCAGTGAGCGCCAGCGACAACCGATCTTCCAAACTTGGATCTTTTTGAATCAATGTTTTTGTAACAAACACAAATGTCTCTCGGTCTCCTTTGAATGCCTACAAAGTAGCAATCTTTTAACAAGAATTTCAACTTCCTAGCTTTCCTGGTTCCCGAATTAACAGTTTACCTGCCAATAATTTTCGCGGGCTCGCATGTGTGAACCATGTAAATCTGGAGGCTGGATTCGAACTCATTAAATTTTACATGGACGGGGGACATCCCCTCATCACTGGCTTAAATGTATGATGTGGGCGCGGAAATCACAAAAAAGTAGTGTACGTAAAGTGTTAAGATAGAGATACACACTATGGATTAACAGCTCTTCCGTACGTTGCAGGTGCTCTGCAACTTTTTGACTTTTACTACAATTTTTCTAAAACCGGCCTTCTCCACTTGTCTCCCGAATCTTTTTCCCTGTATATTTGGTCACAGTTCCGCCAGACTCACACAGTTTGCAAATCATAATTTTATATTCATAAAGAAAAATCACTTACAAAATTTTGTACTAAGCATTACACTTAAAAATTAAAAATTTTATATTTGTAAAAATCGTGATTTTGCACTTAAAAACTACAGTCTGCAGATTACACTTACAGACAACTAAGATGTTGGGGTTTCACTTGATGTCTTACCAAGTGTATCAAAAAATGCTAACCGCTTCTAGTTGCTTTTTCTTGGCTGTATATTTTGATAATATTTCCGGTGGTAAACGAGCAAGTTTTCGTTCACGTTCTCGTTCCGCATTAAGCTGACGCGTAAAAGAACTCAGTCGTAGGGCTAAAAATAAAAAGCAACACTATTCGACTGTATCGAACAAGTCTTTCGCACACTAAGCCTACTTATTTTACTTGAATCCGCAAAATTCACAATTCTTTACAGAGCGTTAAAATCAAAGATTCGTATGAAAACTATCCAATTTCAGGCGATCCAACAAATTTACCGCACAAAGCCTATTCTTCATGGCACAAACAGTCTTAAGAGAAAATTCTAGCGCTTTTTGAATACATAATTTATTATGCCTTGCACGGCACAGTTTTTATAGTCAGCGAATCAAACTGCGTTATGCTATGCAGTAAGAAACTATGATGTTTTGTATGAAAAGCCTAATTTTTTTTTCCTTTTTTTTTAACCCGCAAACTTTTGATTCCTTTTTATTTTCGCGTATAAAATGATCGCGGAAAATCTCAATTCCTCAACGGTTACATAAATTCTTTATTTTATCAGAAACGGGCGGACAGGTCGCTGAATCTGCTCAAAATCAACATAATCCCTGTCCCAGAGCAATCGCAGAAGGCG